TTGAAAATCAAAAACCTATCGACTACATGGCAAGAATTTTCGTTGTGTCCGATTGACTTGATACTGACTTTTAAAAATCATTATGTACCTCTATGATAAAACCTTGCAGGCTCAAAAATACCACAAAATAAACTGTGTATCTTGATTTGTTGATATGTCAGTCAAAAGAAAACAAATATCACGAATCATTAGTGTTATCGAGTTATTCGATTCGGACACAGAGCTCACTCACGGCAAAACCTCGTTCGTCTTTAGTCTCTCTTTTCTCATTCTCATTTTTCTGTGTGTTCGTGTTTGTGTGTGTATGTGAGTCTGCCTTCCTATCCCTCTGTGTGTTTTCTCTTCTCTTATTTGATAGTATCCTTTCAGTTATCTTATATAGGAGCAAAAATATAAGGATGCATATGAGGGCATTTGTGAAATACTAGATAGGGATTAAGTATTTTATTTATGAAATGAGATAATTTCTGCAACAGCTACGGAACATCGCAGTCACATAAGTATAAAAAAACATATCTCTATTAACAACCCTCTTGTCTTTAACGTGGGTTGCAGTCATTACAACACAAACTTTACATAAAAATCCTTTGTCAAGAACAATTAACATATTAGTAACAGAGGAGAGTTACAGTCACTGTATCTTAAACCTACGCATTCAAGGTCCAGACGAGACAGGCAGGAGAGGCGAGACCAGGAAGTGAATCCTCGTCCACTGTGACAGCGCCTTCGTCGTCGAGGTGGAAGGCGCTTGGCTTCGGTCGTCGCTCGAGAGCCCTTGGTTCGGCCTGAAAGGCAAGCATGCTGTGTTCATCTTTTGGATGAACAGTCAAGCCGAAGGAGTTTCACTGACATGGAACCTTGGCGTCGGGAATGGAATTACGGAAGGCCTTAAAAGGTGGAGGCGAGGACCCAACCCCGACGGATGTCCAGGATTTCCTCCTCAATCAGACTCTCCATCAGGTCCTTGACTTGGCCTCGAGTCTCTGCCTCGAGGTTGATCTGGTCGTCAACGCCCGGAGGAAGGACTCGCACCTCCCTTAGGAGCTCGGCCTCGTCGTGCCAGCGCTGGAGGGCCTCCAAGTGCAGCGCCAGTTCCCCGCTCTCCACCAGCTCAGGAGCCTCTTCCGTCGGTACCTAAGGGAGAGAGGCATGGCGTTAGCGCCTAACATTGCTTCTTGGTTTCTCTTTATATATATATACATACATAATATGCCTTTATTGGTTGCTTCCCTCAGCTCTGTCTCAAGTGCGAGCAAGACAAAAAAAGTGCAGTCTTACCCGCCATGGCTGTGCGAGACCCTGCAGGCCGTGGAAGCTGGTGATGGTCCTGGCGAGGGCCTTGTGAGGGCGTGGGCGGCTGAGGATGGGCGTGGTGTGCAGGGAAGAGACGAGACGGGGAAGAACGCGAGACAAAGTGCTGGCCATTTTTGCTTTCTGTCCATGAAATGTTAAGAGGTATTACATAAGTGCCTGAGATCACCGCAGAAACTTCCGATAATGTTCCGTCACTAACAGAGGCATTCATATTTCACGGGAATATAGTCAAGTTTTAGGAACCCAGATCACAGCCCAGAAAGCGATACTCACATTGTACGAATGCCGTGTGCTAAGACGCTTTCGGATGGGTTGTGTGTTCAGCTCGGAGTCCGTGGTCTGAGTGAGAACCTGCACGATAAGCCATCTTTTTATACAGACAGCGCTATCTCCAACGAAATCGTGTGTATATGTTTGCGCAGCCGTGTGCCTCTACGCGTGTGTTCCCATTGTCTTTATATGTGTTAATATAAGTATGTGTATTTTATGTATTCCTACTGAAAGTAGTAAAGACAGGCCATTCTGTAACTACTGTAAATGTACAAAAAAACGCACAGAGACGAATGAGCATAGTGATTAACAGTTGGGTAGAATTGCACTTCATTGGCTGTGTGGGCCGGGAGGGAATGGGGACACACTTGACAGACAAATGTAGAATGTCTATTTCGAGCTAAAAGTCTAAGTATTTAATGTTTTGTTTTTGAGGAATATGCGCAAGCATGAATGTCCACGCACAAAATTGTACACACATACTCTACAATCTCCCTTATATACACCTATACAATCTTAGGATAGATACACAGACACATGTCTCATATCATGTATGTGGGAGAATGGTGGATAGACAAATCCGTTTACAAATGATTATATAGATAAATTGATAGTGAAATAATTATATAGATAGACAAACTTTAAGACCGATACACAAAGAAATGAAAAGAATAAATAGGCAGGGAGATAAACATATTAATAAAGGAATAGGTCGATAGATAGGTAATTGGAATGACAGATTATATAGAGACAGATTTTTCATCTGTAAAAAAATCTTATTCTACAATGGGAGAGAATATAAGAATTCCGTAAATCACTGAATCCCGTTTGCAATACCTGGTTTAAGCTATTTGAAATTTCCCGCCGCCGTAGGGTGCTGCCCTCTGCTGAGAGGCGGATGAAAGCGAGACATGTGAGCAGCCATTTGTTTGGTTCGAAGCTGGCAATGTGCTTTGTGTTAAAACCCGTCAATGTGATGGTTTACGATATTGTCAGACCTGGAGAAAGCCAGAAATTGTAAGGTAAACCAGTGCAATCATGTGGACTAGTGTTTATTTATGATTTTGCATATCTTTCCCTTGCTAACATGACATGAAAAAGGCAACGTTACAGTAACATTAATATCTGTGATTTATGATTTACCTTTCAAGACCTTATGTTAATTTCAAGATTATGAAGGATAACTATTTACATGTCAATGATGCTATATGATTTAATGTTTCTAAGTAGGCATGTTCCGATTTGTTACAGTTGGACCGTTTCGTATGTCGAATAAATTATTAAACCTAGGAAAACGAGTACCTTTACCTTTGGCGTATTTAAATACCTCAATCAACACCAAGAAAAAACCATTAAAGCATAACCCATAATACTACGGGTGTTACAGGTTGGATAGATTGATTTTTTTTTCAAATTCTGTGTATGTATAACTTAACTGTCTGCTTTAGCTTTTGGTTTTGTTACATGAAACTTATTTTGTGTCGATTCTCAAGATTACACTTTCTAAAACAGTTCTCTGTGTGCACATCCTCTCAACCTTTTTTATATTGGCAGTTATGGCACAGGCAGTTTTTTTGGGATATAACTTATTTCCCATGTTGAAGATTAACCTGGATTTCCATTACTTTTTATAATCAGTTTGGCTATGTCATGTTTCTCTTTCTCTCTGTTTATATATATATATATATATATATATATATATATATATATATATATATATATATATATATATATAATATATATATATATATATATATATATATATATTATATATATATATATATATCGTTTTCTTTTTCTCTCACACATTATCTCTACCTATCATTATCTCTCTCTCTTTTCTCATTCTCATTTCTCTGCGTGTGTGTGCGCATGTGTGTCTGTGCCACCTGAGCTTCCCTGTAAACTCCTCTTCCCTAGATCGTCTGTGTTCTTTCGTCGCCACAGACTCGGTATTTTAGCACTCAAGGGTTATAAATATCATTTTCCTGTTTCAAAGATTAAGCTCAGGTTTTATCACTTTTTATCTTCCTCCATACATAGACTGTGAGTACTTTATATAGATAGTACGACTAGACAGTCAATTGACGCTGAGCTTTGAGTATCTATGTATATTATTATTCCTCTTATATTCCGCAAAATTCATCATTTATGCAATATTCATTCTTTTAAAAGTGTGTTCATACGTGCGCAGAAACGAGGCTCCTAGTCCATATTAAGGAACAAAAACAAGATATCGGCGACGTCTTATCGCCAACATGTTCCGGACTTGCCCAAGCTGGTCAGTGACTACTATCGAAGAAGTCTTGTGTCGAAACTTTTCACAGGGATTAGTTTAAGGGATTCTCTTTTTCTCTCAATATCTCTCTCAAAGTCTCTCTCTCTCTCTCTCTCTCTCTCTCTCTCTCTCTCTCTCTCTCTCTCTCTCTCTCTCTCTCTCTCTCTCTCTCTCTCTCTGTCTGTCTGTCTGTCTCTCCTTCCTTCCCTTTCTCCATGTCATGAATGTGGCTGACATGTTTACTGCCTGGTTGAGAAATGAAACGCAGGTCAGCGTCGAGGCAGAGGAAGGGAGACGCCTCAGGTCCCTCACTGCCCACCAGCAGCGACCGAGAGCGAGAGCAGGACGTGACCTTCCTCAGAACCGAACGCAGCCTGTCTAGACGATTGTTTATCTAGAAATTCAAAGTAGATCTGTAAATCTAAGCCAATCAGTGCTAATGAAAAAGCAGAGCGCCGTTCAATTTAATTTCCACACACAATGAAGTAACATTGAAATGAAAGGGGTTAGCAAAATGTCCTTTCGTGAAGCTATTCCTGAATATATTCTGAATGTGACATGTCCTTCATTAACTTATTTTGAAGTCTAAAGGAGGATTCATAGGCTTTTCAGAGATACTAGTAAACGTGTATTTTATTTATCCAATTCGATACGGTCTTATTTGTTAAATGAGATAATTGTTTTCAATAGCAACAGAATCGTCGTCATATAACTAGAAAAACAAATCATCAATTAAGAACCCTCTTATCTCTAAACATGGGTTGCAGTCTTTACAACACAAACATTTTATAGGAAATGTCCCTTGTCACACTGTATCCTAAAACCGCATTCAAGGTCCAGACGAGACAGGCAGGAGAGGCGAGACCAGGAAGTGAATCCTCGTCCACCGTGACAGCGCCTTCGTCGTCGAGGTGGAAGGCGCTTGGCTTCGGTCGTCGCTCGTGGCCTGAACCCCCCCCCCCCCCCCCCCGTGTTCAGCTTCCTTCTTGGGATTGAACAGTCCAGAACGAAGTAGGGACATAAGTGTGGTGTGAGAAGGAGAGGTGCACGGATGGCAATGCGAAAAACAGAGAATACACAACATAGCATTATTATACATATTTCAGTAATATGATATAAATACAGCTTCGTTAAAAGATTCACGTGTATGTATGCGTATATATTCGTTGAGTATGTACGCCTACCTTTCCCGCATGTACTGCACAGCACATCCTCTCCACCCTTCTCTAGATTGGATGTTCCGGGACGCAGTTTTTTGGGATATAAATAACCTGTTTCCCTCACTGAAGATTAATCTGGATTTCCATCACTTTAATCTTTGCTCCAGACAAGTCACGCCCTTGAGGTTCGGACTGTGAGCGCTGTCGACAGCGCCCTGATAATCCGTTTGATTATGATGCCATGTTTCTATATACATTTACATATATATATACATCTTTCTCATATCCTTATTCTCTTACTCATTATCTCAGTCTCCCTATCATTCTCTCTCTATTTCTTCTTTCATTCTCATTTCTCAGCGTGTGCGTGCGCATGTGTGCTAGTGTATGTGTCTGTTTGCCCCCCCCCCCCCCCGTCTCTCTATTTCTTTCTCATTATCATTTCTGTGTGCGTGCGGTTTCTGTTTCTCTCTCTGTCTATCGTTCACTTTATTATACTGGATAAGGATATATATGAATACTAGATAAACATGAAGTATTTTATTCTTGAAATGAGATATTTTCTTCAATAGCGACAGAACATCGCAGTCACATAAGTATAAAAAACAGATCCTCTGTTAACGACCCTTCTTGTCTTTAACGTGGGTTGCAGTCATTGCAAAACACTTTACATAAAAATCCTTTGTCAAGATCAATCATGTCAGTAATTCAAAGGAGAATTACAGTCACTGTATCTTAAAATTACGCATTTAAGGCGAGACAGGCAGGAGAGGCGAGACCAGGAAGTGAATCCTCGTCCACCGTGACAGCGCCTTCGTCGTCGAGGTGGAAGGCGCTTGGCTTCGGTCGTCGCTCGTGGCCGGGGGCTTCAAGGGAGAGCCCTTGGTGTCGCCTGAACAGCATGCTGTGTTCAGCTTCCTTCCTGAGAGTGAACAGTCAAGGTCGAAGTAAGTTCACTGACATGGAACACTGGCGTCGGGAATGGAATCACGGAAGGCCTTAAAAGTTGGAGGCGAGGACCCAACCCCGACGGATGTCCAGGATTTCCTCCTCAATCAGACTCTCCATCAGGTCCTTGACTTGGCCTCGAGTCTCTGCCTCGAGGTTGATCTGGTCGTCAACGCCCGGAGGAAGGACTCGCACCTCCCTTAGGAGCTCGGCCTCGTCGTGCCAGCGCTGGAGGGCCTCCAAGTGCAGCGCCAGTTCCCCGCTCTCCACCAGCTCAGGAGCCTCTTCCGTCGGTACCTAAGGGAGAGAGGCATGGCGTTAGCACCTAACATTGCTAGTTTGTTTCTCTTGATAGATAGATACATGCATAACATGCGAGCAAGACAAATGCAGTGCAGTCTTACCCGCCATGGCTGTGCGAGACCCTGCAGGCCGTGGAAGCTGGTGATGGTTCTGGCGAGGGCCGTGTGAGGGCGTGGGCGGCTGAGGATGGGCGTGGTGTGCAGGGAAGAGACGAGACGGGGAAGAACGCGGGTCAGAGTGCTGGCCATTTTTTTTTCTGCCCATGAAATGATAAAAGGCGTTATACAGAAGTACCTATGAGATCAGGAAAAAAAACAATATGCCATCACTAACAGAGGCACTTGTATTTCACCGTAATTTAGTAAACAATTTAGGATTTCTTAGGAACACAAAGAACAGCCCAGTAAGTGAGACTCACATTGCACGAATGCCGTGTGTTTTCGGATGGGTTATGTGACCAGCTCGGAGATGGCACGATAAGCCATCTTTTTATACTGACAGCGTTATCTCCAACGAAATGGTGTGTGCGTATGTGTTTGTGCGCTTGTGTATCCGTGTGTGCCATTACTGTCTTTAATATAGTTATGTGCATTTTATATATTCTTGTTGAAAACTGTAAAGACCGACGATACATCTTGCACTACAATTTCGCGAGGGACCCCACGCAGTGCCTTGGCGAAAATGAAATCTTAGAAGAAGAATTACGAGAGTTGTATGCTCTTTCTG